AATGATTTGGGGTGATTTTGAATTTCTGAATTTACTAGAAAAATCTTTAATTAATTTATTTTTACATTAAGGAGGTGCTGAGCATGACTGGGTGTGTACACTAGGTGCGCAATGTTCTCGCCCAACAAGGATGCAAGGGACTCACTTTCGACTAATATGCTTTTGTGTGCCACAATAAATGGCACCGTGGGCTGCCAGTTGGACAACTCTGGTGTACATTGTCATAAGCATGATGTATTATGAGTTTTCAAAAAAACCTCCAAAACTAGTTTGTATTTGATCTTTATTTTTGGATTACATAAGAATTTATTCTAGTCAAGATCATAGAAAGAGAAGCTTTTTCCTCCTCTCCTTTCCTCTCTCTTCCTCTCTCTCTCTCTCCCACATACACACACACACATCCACAGAATTTTATAAGGAATTTTATGTATGGTGTGAGATATCACCTTGTGACATGTTCCAAAGCCTCATTAATATTGAAAATTGATATTTAAGCAAACCAAAAAAGCTGATAGCGCAAAAAAAAACAACAACATGGAAATTATAATAGTATGTCTTTCCATTTTTCCTTTTGCTTATTATTTGCTCTTACCTCAGTAGTTCCATATGTGTGCTAATCAAAGATCTGAATACCAAATTATTTACCTTACTAGACAAAATAGTGTTTTCAAAGCTTAAAAGTATAAAATGACGTTCATATGTTATTGAACCTAAATGTATGATTTTTTTAAGGTACGTAGCTATTTGAAGCATTAAAATCAATGTTTTTGTTTGTTTGATGTAATAAGTTATATAACGCTCCTCAAGTTTGAAGGACTTATTAATTGTGATGTGGATTCTTGACCTTAATGACACTGCATTTGTGGGATTCTTAAATGTCTTGGTGAGCAATGTCTTTGCTTTATAATTTTTCCTTTTTTATTTTTTAAGAAAGGGCTCAACCTTCAGTGAATCTTATGTTGAGTGTGAGAAAATGTAAGGTATCATTGATGTCCTTATATATTTTATGTATGATATGTACTGATTTGTGGCTATTTTATTGTGAATTGTAATTAACTGATAACATGTATGAGCAAATTTACCTTTGTTGTATCATTAGTGAGCCAGCATTTCTGCGCATAACGTTTTTTTTATATTTTTTGAAAGGTTAAAAGTCTGATTTTAGAGTAGGCCTAATGGTTGTGATAAAATTATTTCTAATTAAAGCAGCTATGCTGGTTTTCAGTCTGTTGCTATATGTGTAGAGGAGGGTTAATAAATATTACAGCTTGCAATCATCTACAGGTGCCACAAACATGAGAATGCTCAAGACATCTCTTTGTTGTTTCTGCACAAGTAGAACTTTCCACAAACAACTGTTGATTTAAATAGTTTATGTTGCAAGTAGTATTAAATGTTAGATAGGTGTTTGGATCAACCATGTGGTATGTTTATTATAAAATTTTCAGTAACAAATTGACAAAGAACTGTATTTTGATTGAAAGTAGTTCAAACACATGAAATATTATTTTAAAATTTAATGAAATTATAAGTTAAAAAGAAAAAAATTGAAGTGGTGTTCTTGGTTAAGACTTCACATATCAATACATGAGTATTTGATTAATTGCTGCATATGTTGAATGTCGTATACCTTTAATTACATATGACTTTGAAATGCAATAAAATATTTTGATTTAAAAATCACTTTATGTAATCAGAATTCACTTTGCTATCCCTAAAAAAGATATCAATTTCTTTCAATTCTTTTTGTAAATTAACTCTATGATTTATTTATTCTTCAATTTGAAAATGTTTCACTGACTGCAACTATTCCTGCTACTAAAATGTTCTAAATAATTAAAATATTTATTTGAAGTTATTTGTTTGTAAAATAGAATTCTGCTGCAATTGTAACACTATGATTTAGTTTCAAATGATGTCTCTACATAGTACTTAGTTAATTTTAAATATAATGACATTTATGCTCAAAATTAATAAGACTTGCAAAAACAAATGTTACTGAAAATTGCTGAAGAATAGCACTATTAAATATTACAATTTCATATAAGTTTTGAAAGATGCACACAGACATCCTGAGCTAAAATGTCAAATACAGAATGGCATCACAGATTATGCCCTTGTTCTCCTGTAGAAAAATTTGTACTCACATTGTTAGTAATGAACTGCTTGATGTTTATTTATAAGAAGACATATCTCTTACGAATTCATAGAACAGTATTTGTAAAATAAGGTTGGAAAATAAAATAATTCACTTGTTGTAATGCTCCCTACATTTTTATTGTGAACATAATTATACTGCAGTTTAACATAATATACAAATTTCTATATGTGTGGGCTCCCTTCAAGATTTTAACCATCAAATTTTGCAATGTTAATGTTTTTATTGTTACATTGCAACTCATTCACTTATTATTCACTATTTAGTCAGCCTGCAGGTCCCAATATCCTTGACCTTCACATTCTTTAAAATAACACAATGAAATTCATAGTTTGCTAAAATTGTTATTTCTTTGTTGCTGGTGTTTTCTTTGTTACAAACATTTTGAAAAGATAAGAAGAAATCAAATTCTTTGGCACATTTGATGTAAGAGTTGGAATTTATTGAAAACAGTCTTAATTTTGTTCAGTTGAAGAAATAGTACAAATGTTTTCTTCATTCTTAATATTTTCTTCTAAAAAATAATTTGTTGACAATGGAATTTTCAACAAAAATTTGAACTTAGAAGGCACATTAAACAATCTGAAAAGCATTGCTACTTTTAAATTACCTTACTGTCAAACTGGCGTTGCCATATAATTATTTATTATTTTCAAAAGTTTTCAATCCATTTGGTTTAAGAATATCTTATAATATTCATCAATGATTTTTTAAGTGAAATATGTAATGTATTCGTACTTCATGTTGATTAAGTGCAATTTGAATGTGATTAGTACAGTTTTATATAACATATTTTGCTACATTTCACCGATGGCTGGAAATGTTAAATCAGTATTCTTAACTTGTATGAATTTTAGTTGTAAGTATTTATTATCTGCATGGCCTGTGAAAGATATACATTCTAGCTTTTTCTTATTTTCATCTATATGAATGTGTTTAGAGAGGGTCTCTACACTTCTTGATGTTTAATGACTTGTGAATATCCTATTTTTCTGAATTTAGCTGTTTAATATATTATTCATCAACAAGGAGAAACGTGACCTGTTTATTAAATATCACTTATTTTGGTGCTTCTTTATTCTAACTGTAATACTTCTACAAGTGCTGTAATGGTTTCCAGTTCAAGAATTTGTTGTTCGTAAACCTACTTTGCATTTTGTGAGCACATAAAATAACATGCTGATGTGGCATTTCTGTATCATTAGTCATCTTCTGTTTCCCAGAAAAAAATCACAATTTTATTCACTTAATGTTCATACAATACACGCTAGTGTTTTACCCATGTTTATCACCAGAATTAATTTTACATGTTTCATTCTCATTCACAAAACAAGCATTTAGTGAACAGTTTGTCACAGAGTGAAAATGCTGTTGGATGTTTTGCGTCTGTTGTGGTTATTAATTCAACAGGTTCCTGGTGGAAAGGGACACTTCGGGGGACATCTTAACATTTAAGGGGTGAGTTTCATGTCATTACTAACATGTTAGTTGTGCTTGTCATGCATGGGATGTTCTTGCTGCATGATAGGGACAGAATCATTGGAACCCCTTGAGACCCATTTAGTTCCTGCCTTTCTACAAATAATATTAGAGAGCATGTTTGTTACAGGAATTCATATAATTGTGGTATTCCTATCGCTTCCATTTAAATCCATTATTCCATGGTGTCTTCCTACTGCATTAATTAATAAAATTCATTACAAATAATTCTCATGCTTCGTTGTTTCTTTTTGATGTGCAGGTTCTGAGAAATTTTGAATTTCTTTCTTGTCTAAGTAATTTTGTATAAGCTTACATCTTATTTGGTTGCTGGTGAATTGACACATTTTGTTAGTTATTACTGTTATAATTAGGTACAAAATGGTTTTAAAAAGTTTCCTTGATATTCCTCTGTTTATTCACAAATTTGTTAATAGGTGCACAAATATCAAAATATTAATTACGAGTATCACTGCTCTTTTCATTTGTAAATAAATTAAATGTATTATAAGGGAGGTATTATAATATAAATAACAATATTAACATTCAGGCATTAAAAGAAATTAGAGATACTTCTTCTAAATTATTTATGTTCTGAAATGTTCTGCAAGTCTTAACAACTGGGCAATACTCTTATTCACCTAAGCATTGTGAGTTACCTTTAATAGTGCACTTTCATTTCTTAGATCTTTGTAACATTATGCTTTGTTAGTGGGAGACATAAACTTGCTGATTGTTTTATTTTGGGTCTTTACCTGACAAATTTTAGTGAAATATTAGTAGAAAAACTAGACAGTGCTTATTTAATTTTTGGTGCTAACATGTTAC